TGGAAAAATTTGGCTAACATTAAAAAATTTGGAAAAATTTGGATTGATTTGGATCCAAAAAATTTCCGGTCCCTGCCTTTGGCCTTGAGGCATGCCCATAGGCATGTCCTAGGGGGCTTTTAATTTTGTGTGTATTTAATATATATAACTATGTCCGAAAATTTTTTTCCCATGGTTCCAAGAAATAATCGTTATAAAAATTCACTTGTATGACCTAGAATATTCGATCATCCTGCTCTATAGAATAAATTCTACAACTCAGAATAATCATGTCCGGAGTGCACGAATACTTTAAACGAACGTTCTTGGAATGGGACATTGAGGACTTTCTTAATGAATGCGACATAGAGCAATTTGATATAAAAATAGATCGTTACCTCAAATCTCTTGAAATTATCGCTGATACTGAAACAGGCAACAGGAAAGAGAAGGCAATTCAGCTTCTAAATAAATATAATAAATATAGAAAGGCAAGTAAAATACCTTGTCAAAAATATAGGTGGATATAGTGGCGTGACAAGGACTTTTTCGGCCTTTGTCATTCAAGGTTTTTCGCTGAGCCACAAAACTAGTGTTGGGGCACAGATGACTTTCTCGGTTGTCTGATGTTCAAGGTTTCTCGCTGACCCAGCACTGGTCCCACTGGGGCATAGATAACTTTCTCGGTTATCTGATGTTCAAGGTTTCTCGCTGACCTAGTGGGATGGGAAATTTGTCGGAGATTAAGGATACACTAATTAGATATATTACTAATTCTTTGATTTTTTGCTAGGGTAATCGACCTGATTATCAAATTGCAAGAAAATGGAAAAGTAATCATGACTCAGCCAGTACAATTGGACCCTCGTTTCACCTTAATGCAACCTTTACAGGAAATCCTCTGATTAGTGGGAATATCAGCGGTGGATCTTTTGATTTTTCCAAAAGTACATTGGAAATAAACGAAGTGAATAAGGAAGAGGTACATATGAACGTTTTTTAGCTACAAGTTGAGAATCATATAATGTTATTACCAATCTTATTTTTATAATTTGACCTTGCGCTTCTATAGGATTTGGAAATAAACGAAGTGAATAAGGAAGAGGTACATATGAACGTTTTTTAGCTACAAGTTAAGAATCATATAATGTTATTACCAACTTATTTTTATAATTTGACCTTGCGTTTCTATAGGATTTGGATAGCAAAATCAACAAATTTTTTCAAAGTCCCAATGAACAACAACCCAATCGGTTTGTCAAAAAACTGCGAAAATCAGAAACCACAGATGAACGTATATATATATCGCATGATTTAGAAAGGGCATGCCCATGAGCATGAGGGGCATGCCTAATTTTTTTCCCGTGCCCTAAACCCTACCAGTG